GAACTCAGGACCTTGCGCTTGCACGGCAGGCGGCAGCACCACTGAGCTAAATCCCCAGCCCTAATGAATGAAGCTTTTATTCATGTAGTGATTATTTTATTCATCTAGTTAGATGAATGGTGCTTTTAGCTATGTCAAGTAAGGAAATGAAAAAAATTGTCAGTGTTGCATAGACAAACCATTTTATATAACTAGAACTTAAGTGTTTAGTATTCTCTTGCTTAGGTTTTTAAATACATACAGCCAAGTGCAATGATGCATGTTTATGGCCCTGTTACTCAGGAGGCTGAGGCAGGAGAATCCCTTCAGCTAGGAGCTCAAGGCTAGCCTGGGCAACATAGCAAGACCTTGTCTCTGTCAATCAGTAAGTTGATTGATAGATAAATAAGTGGATTGTTAAAGCCCTGTTTTATTGTATTTTTATTTTGTAAAGGAGGAGAGGTTTATTTGACTCACAGTTTCTTTTTTCTTCTTCCTTTTATTACTAGTACAGTGGTAGCTTGGTTTACAGACACTTTTGTTTGCGAGCAATTTGGTTCACAAACAAAAACGTTTGTCAAACTTTTGTTTTTGTTTGCAGACTGCATCGGGTGACAAAGACGACCGTGGCGGTCTTTCCCGCACAAAGACAAATGTGGCCATCTTTTACGAAATGGTGGAACAGATTAAGTTCATGAACCGAGGTACCACTATACATGTTGTGATCCATAATGAGCACATTCATTGTGGGGAATTGGTATATACGCATATCGCATCTTTATCCTTTTTACTTTCCTTCCTGCCCCTTCCATTTCCCCTCCTCCCCAAATCCCATTCCCATCTCTATAAAGTCTATCTGTTTCTTATCATCTGTCTTTTATTGTGCTCCTAAATTATTTATACTTTGGGTTTCTCATATAAGAGAAACCATACAATATTTAACCTTTTGTATGTAATTTACTTCACTTAGCATTATGGTTTTAAGGTGTATCTCTTTTCCCATAAGCGAGTCAAAAACGTATCCTTCTTTATGGCTGAGTAGTACTCCATTGTGTATAAATACCACATTTTCTTTATCCATTTATCTGTTGATGGACATATAGTCTGCTTTCAATATTTAGCCATTAAAACCCTGTTTTAAAATTGTCTTATCACCTTAAAGATAAAAATCTTAGAGCTTGAGGGTGCTTATCCGAAGGGTGATTTTGGTTTCTTAGATGAGGAAACTAAGGCACAAAGAAGCTTTCCCAATATCATATACCAGAATTGTAACTAGAGCTTGCATTTTCAGACTTGTAGTTTAGTGTTATTTTTACTTTCAACTATTTCTTGTTGGTAAGCTGTTCTTGACGTACTTAAAAACAGATCTTTTGTATCTTTAATATATGTGTTTTCTACTTTGTGTCAAAATAAACTTAAAGATACAAAATTGACTTTCAATTTTGTGATGAAAATTTCAATTCTTTGTTTAATTTTAGGTGAATTGACGTGTGCAAAATCCTGGTTATTCTGAAGATGCCTCTGCAGAATATTGCTTCCTGTTTAAATTACAGATAACATCAAGAGTTTTCGGAGCAAGAGAAACTGGGATTTTTTTTTATTAAATCATGCCTTCTGAACAGAACAAGTCATTTTGTGATGAAAAAGAAACTACTTTAAAAATGGGATGTAATATGAAAAATCTGGTAGTTGATACTATGAGATCAGTACCTAAACCAAAAATTTCACAAAGTAGTTTTCATTATAAACTTAAAAATGTGAAAATCGACTTGCCGAAGGTAAATATTCCAAATGAAGTCCTAATGAAACACGAAGTTAACAAATATAGAAAATTATTTTGTAGCAAACCACAGACTGCAAGAAAATCTATCAGTATAAAGTCGATAAGCCGTGCAGAAGAGTGTATATTGCTTCATAAGTCTGAGAGAACAGAAGAAGAGGGTATAAAAATGTCTGCAAAAATACTCAATTTCAGCTGTTTAAAATGTGGAGATAGCACTCGTTATAGCCCCAATGATTTGCAGAAACATTTTGAAATGTGGCACCATGGTGAATTACCTTCATATCCCTGTGAAATGTGCAGTTTTTCCGCAAATGACTTCCAGATATTTAAACAACACCGCCAAACCCACAGAAGCACTTTAGTAAAATGTGACATTTGTAACAGTGAGTGTGTGTATACTTTATTGGACTTGACGAAACATTTCATATCCACACACTGTGTTAATGGTAATTTCCAATGTGAAAAGTGCATATTCTCCACCCAGGATGTTGGCACATTCGTTCAGCACATTCACAGACATAATGAAATTCATTACAAATGTGGTAAGTGCCATCATGTATGTTTTACCAAAGGAGAGCTTCAGAAGCACCTTCATATTCATTCTGGTACTCTTCCTTTCACTTGTCAATATTGTAGTTACGGTGCCACCAGGAAAGACCATCTTGTAAGACATATTATAACTTTGCACAAAGAACACTTATATGCGAAAGAAAAACTGGAGAAAGATAAATATGAAAAGAAGATGGCAAAGACTTCAGCTGAACTTAAGCTGATTCTGAAAAGATATAAAATAGGTGCATCAAGGAAGGCATTCTGGATACGTAAGAAAGTTAACAGTGGAAGTGACAGAAGTATCGACAAAAACACTCAAGTGCTTAATTTAATAAACAGTGCAGAAATGAAATCTGAAGACCAGAGCCATCTTGGTCAAGAGCATTTAAATGACGACAAAAGTGAAAGACTACATTGTGAGAACAGTGATATGCCCACAGAGTCAGAGTCAGAAAAGCCAACCTTTCTGGACAGTGGACAGTATAATGGAGCTGATGAGGGATCAAATTCTACTTCAGATTTCTTGAAGACTGCTCTACAAGGACCAACAGTGTTAATGGTAAAAAATAATAAAATAACAGTTCCTGCTAATTACAGTGCTAAGTTTATGGGCTTCAGGATGGTGGATGGAAGACAACATATTGTAATAAAATTGTTGCCTACCGGCAAGCAGAATTTATATTTACCAGCTTCACAGTCAGGTGCCGTAAAGGACAGTACTGCTAATTTGCAGCCCCAGACTTTGGATACCACTGGATTTTTAACAGGAGCGACAACTGATTTAAATGACACGGTTTATATGAAAACAACTCCATTTTCACGTTCATCTCCCATACTTTCAGGGAAAAAAATTTCAGAAAAAGAAATGGCTTTGATATCTGAAAGGAATAATATGCTTCAAACAGTGGATTACAATAAAAGCGTGTCTCCTTTGCCAGCATCATCAGAATTGGTTACCACATCAGTGAGTTTGACCACAAAAGTTGAAGCAAGAGATATTGTTGACTTATGGGGAAGTCGTATCACTCAGCATCATCCTGAGGTATCAAACACCATCAATAAAAGTCCGGATAAAGTCAGCCATACCACAAAATCAAGTGTATGCAACAGTGGAGATATGCATAACTATTGCATTAATTATGTCAACTCTGAGCTACCTGCTGAGTCCTCCAACCAAGGATCATTACCTTTTCATAACTACTCAAAAGTGAACAACTCTAATAAACGCCGTAGGCTTTCAGGAACAGCACTGTGTGAAAGCTTTCAGAGAGAATCTTCATCCAGCAAAACAGTTGCTCAACAACCAGTTAGTGAGACAGCTCTATCACTAGTGAGGAAGGAGAGTTCAAACCCAGATAGCCTGTTAGCATCTGTCAGCCTTTTAAATGACAAAGATGGAACTTTGAAAATGAAAGGTGAAATGGAAGAGCAGTGTGTTTTAGAGAAAGGGCAGAATACTGACGGACAGAACCTCTACACTAATGCAAACCAAAATTTAGAGAGTGTGAATGAAAAACCAGAATGGAATGACTTTTCTAATGTTGATTCACTTATGATGCCTAGGATCACATCTGTTTTCTCTCTCCAGAGCCAACAGGCATCAGAATTTTTGCCACCTGAACTAAATCGATTACTTCAGGAGGAATTAAAACCAAAATATGATGTAAAACAGGACTCTAAAATTCCAGACGAAAGCCTGACGCCTCATTGTGACCTGTCACTTCAAAAACATGAGGGCGAAGGAACAGTAGTTGAATCTTCAAAAGACATCAAAGTAGAAGGTGTCTTCCCAGTTCCATCTGGCAGTGTTGGTAGTATCCCTACAAATGATCTAAATTTAAAATTTAATGGAAAAAAGAAGCAAGTGCTATCGGTTTCACAGGACGTGAGAGATTCAGGGAAGACACCTAGAATTTCAGGTATTAGCACATTACTTAAGACTCAGTCAGATGCAATAATAACACAGCAGCTTGTAAAGGATAAACTACGAGCCACTACACACAATTCAGGTACTTTATATATGCAGAATCCACCTCTGAACTCAGAACAGAAAAAAACTATATTTGTTCCAACACCAAAAGGTTTTTTTATACCATTACATGTCGCTAACAAGCCTGGATTCCATGTTGTTTCAGGAAGACCACTTCCACTTGTTAATACAGAAAGAGTACCTGTTTCTCTTCTTTTCTGCACTTGATGACTTTGTTGGGTGTAAGAAATCTGGGCTTGAGTTACCAGTGTAAAGGAGTGATTGATTTTAAGAGACTCTTGCTCTCCAAGTTAATAATTTAATTCCTTTCATCTTGATTTTAGAGCTTATATTAGCTAGTACCTAGCTATTCATGATTTAAAACCATGTTTATATGTTTTTCCCAAACCTAAGTATAAGCTTGTTGGAACTTTCGTATGGTATGGTATTGTATAATTCAGGGGCAGAATCCCTGCAATGAAATGTATTTTCCGTTTGCATATTATTTACAGGAGGAAATTTCCTCTTTTGTAATGATCTGCTTTATGACACAATATCCATAAATTATATTTTTAAAAACAAAAATGTTTAGAATCAAGATGAAATCTTTCTATCTCCACCATCTCCATCAGTTTCTCTATTTGCATTACACTGTAGCTCTAATGAAGTTGGTTACATTCTTCAATTTAGAAAGTGTTAATTATTTTTTGCATAACTATGAGATGCTCAGAGTTAAATGACTTTAGCAGGGAAATAACAACTTAACACTAATGTTGATTCCCTATCCCCACTATCCTTCTCGAACACAATATGTTCCAGAATTCTTTCTTAAACTTATTATTCAGCTTTCTTTCCTTTACTGGTTTCTTTTTTCTCTTTTAGTCATCTTCTTTCCTTCCTTTGTCTTTTCTCACTTCAATGGTCAAAACCTTAAAGGAGAGCAAAAGAATGCTTGAGGGTTGTGATAATGATGAAGAGGAAGGGGGACTCGATAAGGTAGACTTCAGTAATAATTTATTTCACACACACACACACACACACACACACACACACTGTCCTGTATAACAAATACAGGTTTGTAAGTTTTTGTAGGTGAATATATATGTAGAAGTAAAAATAAAGTTATAAAATAAATTCCCCAGATGGGATGTGTGTAGTTTCTTAACTTGAAATAGAAAACAAACTCTGTCCATGTTTCCAACTAGCATCTCTCTTTTTTTGCTATTGAAAAAATTGTATTTTTTCATCTGCTGTGTCAGGGCCCTTATCTGGCTTTTATGGAAACAAGATTTGGCAAGAAAGGGATGATGTGCAGCATAGATAAAATCCATTTTGTAAACTTTCTCATTCTATAATGTACTCCCTTTTGGTATTTAGGACAGATTTCAGGTTGAGTTTTATACAGATAAAGGAGAATGGCTAACGTGCATTTCTGAACCTTTGCTGTTCAGGAGGTATTGTGTAGATTAAGGGGGTTTACTGAAGGACTGAGAAAATGTGTGTGGCCACATACTCTAAATAAACAGTATTTATCATATACATTTGAAATTTTTTGTAGAATTATAAACTCCAACATGAAACTTATAAAAACATGAAACATAAGAATATAAGAAAAATGTGATCTTAATTTCGCTTTTACTATTTTGGTATATCTTTCCACCCAAAGTTTTTTTGTAGTTTATGTTGCTGCCATGTCCTCATTCCCTTTTGAAAATCAAAATAATTTTTGTAGAAGTTGAGATCAATAAGACATTATACTACTAAAAGCTGAGGAAGACCCACGTAGAAATTCTCCAGCGCTATATAGTGTGATATGGCATAATTCCTTTGCTGGGAATCAGAACCTCTCACAATGTAAAGAGAACTTTCAGTACAATTATTAAATGTGTACATATCTGGAGTTCAACAT